ACCGTGTATTGACACCGTCTTTAACTAATTAGTTAATATTCTCTTTACTTTCAGTAATCATTTAGTGCACATCTTACACTCATTAACAATGTTATACCTTCTCTACTTTCGCTAACCGTACAGTCATTTCTTTACCTTTACTAGCTCTCTGGTACTTACTTACAGTAACAATATAATGCTTCCCCATCTTTAACTGACTGTGTATTAATTCTATCTCTATTATTTAGCACCTTTCTTACTTACAATAAATTATGTAATCTTTTCCCTGTTTTCACTAACTTCGCTTTCCGTATAATCTTACTATTTACCATCTGCAACCCCTTTTTTACAACTTCGCTAACCGTATGGCTCCCTTCACACTTTACATCTATATCTCATTCAATACTTTTGCTAAACATATTCCCTCACTATCAACCATCTACAACCAACTTCATTAACCATTTAGCCTTACTCTTTAGTATCTATATCCATTTAACACATAGCTTCACTCTTTAGTATCTATATCCATTTAACATATAGCTTCACTCTTTAGTATCTATATCCATTTAACATATAGCTTCACTCTTTAGTATCTATATCCATTTAACATATAGCTTCACTCTTTAGTATCTATATCCATTTAACACATAGCTTCACTCTTTAGTATCTATATCCATTTAACACATAGCTTCACTCTTTAGTATCTATATCCATTTAATACATAGCTTCACTCTTTACCAATTATATCTCATTTCTATTTTACCTAAGCCCTCCATACCCGTTTTGTGTGAAGTGGCTTTCCTTATTTTCAGTACAAATGGCAGAGTGGAACTGTATACTTCCGATCGTTCTATCTGTTAAGGAATAGTGTTTTATATATGGTCATGCTGGTAGTGTGAAGTGGACGTTCTTATTTTCAGTCAAACTGGTAGATGCTGTTTTTCCTTTCGGCGTTAAATCTGTTAAAGTATAGTGTTTCATATATGGTCATGCTGGTAGTGTGAAGTGGACGTTCTTATTTTCAGTCAAACTGGTAGATGCTGTTTTTCCTTTCGGCGTTAAATCTGTTAAAGTATAGTGTTTTATATGTGGTCATGCTGGTAGTGTGAAGTGGACGTTTTTATTTTCAGTCAAACTGGTAGATGCTGTTTTTCCTCTCGGCGTTAAATCTGTTAAAGTATAGTGTTTTATATGTGGTCATGCTGGTAGTGTGAAGTGGACGTTTTTATTTTCAGTCAAACTAGAAGAGGATGTATTTCCTTTCGGCGTTAAATCTGTTAAAATGTATAGTGTTTTATATATGGTCTGCTGGTCGTGTGAAGTGGCCGTTCTTATTTTCAGTCAAACTGGTAGATGCTGTTTTTCCTCTCGGCGTTAAATCTGTTAGGGTAGATTGATTTATATATGATTATGCTGGTAGTGTGAAGTGGCCCTTTTTATTTCCAGGCAAACTCATAGAGCGTGTTTTTCATTTCCCTCATTAAATCTGTTAGGGTTGAGTGTTTTATATATGATTATGCCCGTAGTGTAAAGTGGCCATTCTTATTTTCAGTCAAACTAGAAATGGCTGTTTTTCCTTTCGGCGTTAAATCTCTTAGGGGAGAGTGTTTTATATATGATTATGCCCGTAGTGTAAAGTGGCCATTCTTATTTTCAGTCAAACTAGAAATGGCTGTTTTCCTTTCGGCGTTAAATCTCTTAGGGGAGAGTGTTTTATATATTATTGTGCTGGTAGTGAGAAAGTGACCTTTCTTATTCTCCCTCAAACTGATAGAGAGTGCTTTTCCTTTCGGCGTTAAATCTGTTAGTGTAGAGTACTCATCTCTAGGAGTATAAAGTAGTTTTCTAATTTTGATAAATAAACTAACTGAGTGGAAAATATTTATTTTCAGTAAATTCAAAAAGTGGGAAAAGTAGCTTTATTGTTATTAGATAAACTTTTAGATGAAAGTATTTTGCTATAGATAATTGCTTCAACGAGTTACGTTCTTTCATGTTAATTAATAGACAGGATCGATCACTGTAACAAACGCATGTAATAGAAAACAGAATTAGAAGAGAACAGTAATCATAATATTTTATGATTTTGATTGATCACAGTAAACTAAAAATTCTGGTGTGGAAGCCATGTTTCCCATATATCGTTGTTGTAGACAGAATATTTTATTCCTTTCGAAAAAATACAATACAACATATTCTAAAAAAAGAAGCTGTTTTATAAGGTTAGAAATATTTGACTAAACGTTAAAAAAAGGTATTCTACCATTCCGACAAAATAAATCACACAGCTCTTCATATTTTCTTTTTACAGCACACTATTAACTTAACTCCAAATTATAGTACTTTAAATGTTGAAAAAAGCTCTTCTATACCAGTTTTACCCAACAAAAGAAAGACACTTTTCCCTATTTTGTTTATATAACAACAGGGAAACCAACGCATTCCACCAGTTTAATTAAATAATTATAATACTATTAGCACTCTTAAAGAAACACTCTTCTCATTTTTACCTTATCAGTTTACTAAAAACACGGACAATTATTTCACACTTCTGTCATTGTTATTAATAAAACACGAAAATCTTCTACCAGATAAACGACTAAAATCAAAAGAGTATCACTTCTGGGAATTACAAATCTAAGGATGGTTTTGATTAGTGTAGAATAATCATATAGAAGGATCTAATCATATATATATTGCGAACCGTGGTGTCTGTCCGAGCATGCACCTGTCTCCTGTTTACGGCGGCCGCTTCCCGCGCTGCGTTTGAAAACCTGGGCACGCAGACAAAGCCCAACTTTCAATTTTGCAGTGAGGGGAGCTGTTTATCTGTTTATTTTTTAATTTCGCGCAAAGCTACACTAGGGCTATCTGCGCTAGCCGTCCCTAATTTAGCAGTGTAAGGCTAGAGGGAGGGCAGCTAGTCATCACCATCCACCGCCAACTCTTGGGCTACTCTTTTACCAACGAATAGTGGGATTAACCGTCACATTATAACGCCCCCACAGCTGAAAGGGCGAGCATGTTTGGTGTGACAGGAATTCGAACCTGCGACCCTCAGATTGCGAGTCGAGTGCCTTAACCACCTGGCCATGCCGGGCCAATGAGGGGAGAAGAGGCATGAATAATGTTGATGGCATATTTTATTCTGTAAGCAGGATATTCTACACTAAATTATTATAAATTAATCACATTATCATTCAAATTTCAAAATGTTTGTTTGTTTGAAGTTATGCACAAAGCTACATAATGGGCTACCTGTGGTCTGCCCACCACGGGTATCAAAACCCGATTTTTAGCGTTGTAAGTCCGCAGACATACCGCTGTGCCACTGGGGGGCATTTCAAAATGTGACGTAACTTAAAGAATAAAAAATCTAGATTTACCGTATGTTATTGTTGAGTGACTCTTAGCATGACTGAAATGCTCAACAATTACTTTTCTCGGTGGGCGGCATAAGTAGCTCAGAGCTTTGTATCTGACTGAACCAAAGAGTGTAACATAATTAACCTTTATAAAGTCATGAAACAATATAAGTTGATAAATTAACTCAAACTCTTCCGTCACTGGGGACGGGTACTTTTGCTTGTTACTAATTAATATCTAATCCTTTTTGTTTTTAAATCAAAACAAGACGCTTGTCTTAGTACATTCTTTAGATTAATCTTAATTTTAATCTAACAAACAACGACGATTAAAAAAAACATAAATTAGTCAACTTCCAAAAGCAATTCCCGAACAAAATTGTAAGGTATTTAAAGAAAAGCTTAGTTTTATTCAATTCTAAATGATTTACCAACTTTCTGAAACTTAATAAATGAGTATTCTTACTTCAGTTATCATTCAAGATACAGGGAAAGACACACTAAAGTTGATAAGGACACTCAATAGGGTACTTGTAAAGACACACTTTGACATAGGCATACACTAGAATGCTTATAAAGCCAATTTACGTTGATATAGACACCCAATAAAGTACTTAGAAAGACAACTTACGTTGACATAGACAACCAATAAAGTAGTTAGAAAGATACACCTAAGTTGATATGGACACCCAATAAAGTACTTAGAAAGACAACTTACGTTGACATAGACAACCAGTAGAGTACTTAGAAAGATACACCTAAGTTGATATAGACACCCAATAAAGTACTTAGAAAGACAACTTACGTTGACATAGACAACCAATAGAGTACTTAGAAAGATACACCTAAGTTGATATGGACACCCAATAAAGTACTTAGAAAGATACACTTTGATATGAACACCCAACAGAATACTTAGAATAACACACGTTGACATGGACACCCAGTAGAGTACTTAGAAAGTCTACGTTGATATGGACACCCAGTACAGTACTTAGAAAGAGACATGTTGATATGGACACTCAGTAGAGTACTTAGAAAGAGACACGTTGATATGGACACCCAACAGAATACTTAGAAAGAGACACGTTGATATGGACACCCAACAAAATACTTAGAAAGACACGCATTGATATGGACATCCAATAGAGTACTTAGAAAGAGACACGTCGATATAAACACCCAGTAGAGTACTTAGAAAGAGACACGTTGATATGGGCACCCAACAGAATACTTAGAAAGAGACACGTTGATATGGACACCCAACAAAATACTTAGGAAGACACACACTGATATGGACATCCAGTAGAGTACTTAGAAAGAGACACGTTGATATAAACACCCAGTAGAGTACTTAGAAAGACACACATTGATATGGACATCCAGTAGAGTACTTAGAAAGAGACACGTTGATATAAACACCCAGTAGAGTACTTAGAAAGAGACACGTTGATATGGGCACCCAACAGAATACTTAGAAAAACACACTTACGTTGATATGGACACCCAACAAAATACTTAGAAAGACACACATTGATATGGACATCCAGTAGAGTACTTAGAAAGAGACACCTTGATATAAACACTCAGTAGAATACTTAGAAAGAGACACGTTGATATGGACACCCAACAGAATACTTAGAAAGACACACTTACGTTGATATGGACACCCAATAGATCGTACTTTTGTCCAGGTGGTTCGTCACTCGGTAGGTAGCGGTAGAACTCCACATGATTTTTGTACCACTTCACAGAGTACAGGTCATCCTTTTCCAGGTCGTATCCACAATACAGCCACACGGGGACGCCCTGTTTCACTCCTGATGGAACTCTTAACTCTGTCAACCTCAAGCAGAACATACCTGGTAAGAAAAGTAGTCTTTTGTTTAATATTTCTGAATTTGACAAAGAGAACTCCAAAGAAGAAAAAACATGCATTAATCAAATAAAGACTCTAATGGCTTTTTAACGAAAGTTCCTTTGTTAAAATTGTTTATTATAGACAAACATTAAAACACCTCTGTTTGTCACAAAAACTGGTCTTCTCTAAACATGCAAAATCGATCTGAAAAAAAAGATTTGTCAGTTGTTTTCAATGTCAACAGCGAGTTATTTTACAGGTATGTTTGTCTCTGTAACAAATCTTTATATTGTTCACTCTCCCACGATGGGTCAGCGTTAAGTTTACGGACTTACAATGCTAATATCCGGGTTTCGATTCCCCGTAGTGAACAGAACGCAGATAGTCCTTTGTGTAGCCTTGCGTTAAAAACAACATCAATATATTGTTATATAACTGAAACTCCAAATAAAGGGAGGTTCTGATGGATATAAACTTTGGACAGAACTCATATGTAGAGAATGTTATGAAAACTGTTGCAGTGTTATAGTTTTCAATACTAATGACTCAGAAGAAATAATTTTAATTTAATACTTTATATTACAGAAAATTCACTTATGATAAAAGCATTGTCAGTATACATCAGTTCAGGGTGTTTTCGTAGCGTTAGTAACACAGCGTATTCTCCGTTTGATTCGAAATTTATCCTTATTGTTGTCTTGTTGATTTATAATAAACTTGATAAATATTTTATAGACTTTTAACTTTAAACCAATAGGAATATACCATTGAACAACAAAAGCTGTCATACCTTTGTTGTCAAGCAATGCCGAGTCATTGTTTAATACAAGCATCTAATATTTCTTGATAAAGAACACGTGTTCCTTTGTCGGCATTATCTGTTCAGTAATATGCAAACACACATACACACACACACACATATATATATGTACAGCAAATGATATTTTTATTTCTCGAAAGAGCTCGTTCATTTAATCAGGAAATGGACATGGCGGATTTAGTTCGAGTGTAACAGAAAATACTGTTAATAAATGAAGTTGGAACAAATGAAAATTTATTTTTCTCGCTAGAGGAATATTAGTGTGAAAATTGAGTTACACGTAATAACATGGATATGTAATCAAATTTATGACTAAAGCATCTGTAATAACTTTTCAGAAAATAATACAAGTAACAGCAACAAAAGTATAGAATACTGATTCTACAGCTTCAATTAGAAAATTAATGTATTCTTAATATAATAAAAAAAACACATTCGTCTGAGCCGGGAGCGAAACTTTGAGTTAGTTCTGCGTCTTAAGATTTTGTCTTCATCATGTTTGTTACATAATTTAACAGTTGTATAGCAATTCTGCATATTTGATCAAATATCAAAACCGTTTTTAAATAGTTTTTGTAACAAGATATAAGGGACTAATGCATATATTTCTGCTCGCTTGTTAACACTAAATAATGCTTTAGTTTTGTTTCATTTGATACGATTTCTTTATACATTTATTATAGTTTAATCATGAACTACAAAATAAGTAATACAGTAGTTTCTTACAGAGTTATTCATTTGGTAGACGTTCTCATCATACCTGTTTTTTTTAGGAAACAATCATTTAACACTGTAGTTATTACGTAGCTTACATTAATTCACGCTGTATGTTTGTGAATTTGTATGTCTGCGAACTCCAAGTTTTGGAGATAGCAGCCTTGAGGTGGCCCTATCTACATGGATCCGCCCCACTAAAAAATGGGCTAAAATGTGCCGGAAGGTCACCCGGACATTGGATTATTTTCAAGTTCGCTGAATACGAATCTGGCAGCGATGTTTATGTTCCTGCACCATCTCCACCTCCTCCTCTCGAAATTCCGGGGATGCAATGCTCGAAATTGTGTATATATATCTCCACTCATAAGCTAGCTGGACCAAAAGTAGTACAAATACTGAGGTACCACTGATGAGTATCCCAATGAGGTTAGTTTTGGGGTACAAATCCTGTTGGGATTTCTATAGGAATATTTGGGATTAGAGGAAGAGCTACATCGGTATACTCTGTAAATCATGAGGGGGCCCTCGAACCTCACAGTGGAGTGCAGGTATTTTATACTGCTCTTATTAAGGAGTTTTTCTGGCAATGATAAGTATTTAGATATTAACTCAGGTTAATTTGGTTCTTTTTGAGATATCTATTAGATATTTGGAAAGTAGAATTGATAATGGCATTCAGAATTGTTAATATTTGGAGAACTCTAGTAACATTTGTTACGAAAATAATTATTCATATATTACAAAACGTTTTGGAAAGCCGAGCTTTTCGGTTCAAGATATTTTCAAACCAAATGTTATAAAAGTGTATTGTAATCGTATTGGTTATTGATAACTGTTTAAGGTAATAGTGTTAAGCTACGTGTTTCCGCTTATAGCTCTTATAGCGTCTCCATGGCCCGAAAGTGCGGAGCGCGTTTTTGCGACAACGGGATGCGAGTATAGAACTCTCAGATTCACAGAATGTAGAATTAGTCTTAAGTCTTTTGATAGAACATATTTTTCATAACCTTACTAAAGTAATTCACAATGTCTCGAAGTTAAGGTTTCTATCATAATTATCTTAATATGTATATATATTGTGGTCACCAATCTCCTTAAAACAGTTTTTACTGACTACATAGACCCCCCAGTGGCTCATAAGTATATTTGACGGCTCCAACCACTAAAAACCGGGTTTCAATACTCGTTGTTGGCACAGCACAGATAGTTTTTTGTGTAGTATTTTGCTGTCCAACAAACAAACAAGTTAAACATAAATCAGCGTTATTTGACAAAGGTTTTTTTTTAATTTGAAAGTAAAACTTACAAAATGGTGCAAAAATAAAAATATACCTTCCCCGAAAGGGGACCGAAGGCCGCCTGGAGGGGTTACCTGTTTTAATTACTCGCATCACTATACAGTACCGTGTTATCTGTCTGTTAGTCAGTAGACACTATAATGGCGTTACATAAAGGACGCTTAACGTTGCAATTTGTACTGTCCTGACGTCAGTAAAACGTGCACACGTCATGAATCACGAGAAGAATTATGCACTCTGTAGGCTACAACACAGCGTGATATGAACTTCAAAAGCAAGAAATAAAAATATTTGTTATTCTTAAGTTTGGTTTTATTTGCTCTTGACACAGACCACTTTCGGGGACCATACGCAAGTACATCTAGTAATTGAAAGGTTTTATGTGCAATGTGTGTTGTTATAAAATGTAGTGCACTGTTTCTATCAAAACACACAAGAACTAGTAATCACCACCGATGTAGTGACATGGTAATAGAATGTTTAATATGGCCAATAGGTCTAAGGCTATGTTATTATGTACCTTATATTACATAGAATTTTTATAAATTCTTCATCTTAAAGAATTTATGCAACGCCTTAATACTTTCATCAACGCTTTTTAGCCTCCATCTGAGAAGAATATCACAAGAAAGCTGCTTATATTTTAATTTTTTTACAAAAAAAAAGTTCCAATAATGCTTAAGTAAATTTTTTGAACATGAAATGTTGATGAAAATTCTTCACTCAAAGTTAAAACAGTTCGTGACGGCCGAGCCACATTCTCCGATGTTATAGTTGAAACGCTATTTGTAGCTATTGTTTTTAAACTATTTTTTAGTCTGTTATAAATCAATTACCAGATCGTACATTTTGGAAGCACGCTTTTCGCTATTACTCAGCTTCCATAATCTTGTCACTACATAAGTATTTTCAAACTCTTGTCAAATCCAGACCGAACAGATAAAATAAAATATATTGTTGATTTTGACCTTTCCCTGTTAATTTAACCTTTCAAACGCAATCACACAAGCACAGATGAATGTGAACTTGAAAGCTTATATCACCAAAAATTCGGGAATAGATCCCTACGGTGAGCATAGCACAAATATATTCCATTGTACACCTTTGTGCTTAAACAAAACGTAACTATTCCAACATTACCTTTTAAGTTTGCACAAGTTCTGTTTTTGAATAAAAAGTTCTGCTAAAAGGTTAAGTCTAACTAACCATCTGTAGCGTCTGAAAATGTAAAGAAATAAATAGAATCGTTCTAAACGGGGAGAATTTAAGTCACAAAGGTTTTGTGCTCGATAAAGTTCGTTTGGCAGAAACTTTGACCACTTTACTATTATTATTTTCAATAACGATCACTTGGCCAAAATGTTGATCATTAACTCATTTTTTCTTACAGTAACTTTAACCGCTTCTTTGTATGATTAACCATAAGGTTGTCTGTAACAGGCTTCGTTGTTTTTTTTAAGCCTGACTTAGATAGTTTCTATTTTTGTTAAATATAGGTCAGAAAAATATTATTTTACTTTTGCTGTAAAATACTGTTATATCGACATTCTAGTTTGTCCAAAAATGGTTCAATTAAATATATTAACACGCTGTTCAGACTTGTTGTCCAGACATCCGTGTGATATAACACAACTCAACGTATGGGTAATTATAGGATTTCGGGAAATTTTATTAAGGTATAACATTTCTTACACTGGTCTTAAGAGGAAATTACATCGACCAACGTAAATAATCTGTTTAATGTGCCTGGACAGTGAATCCAAACATGTAAATTCGTGTCCCGTTGCCTGAAAAACGTATTCTACACTTTGAAGCCATGGACGCAATGTAAGAATGAAGGTCATATCCCAATATTATTAGTATTAAATCAAATAGAAGAGTAATCAACGAGTTGGCGATGGGTTTTGTTCATTAGCTACCTAGTCTATCGTTTCGTTTCAAAATTCGCGATGAAGACAATTAACTGTGATAAAAAATACACAATCAGTCAACATTGTATATTTAAAAATTATCTAATTTTATTGAGCACGACAAAATATTTTCAACCTGAACGACAATAATGCGACACAAACGACAGGTATAGTCTTTCTTAATTTAGAACTTTTGTCTAGAGGACAACCAGTCAGAAGAATTCAATGTACCTAACGGCTACACTCAAACAAACAC